TAAAGTAATTTATCTGATCTGCTAAAGCAAATATATCATGTGTGTATTTTATGCCAAAAGAATTAACATTTTCTGAGAAGAATGAAATTTCAACCCAAAAATACTATGAAAGAAATTAAATACACCAGTTCTCTAAAGGTAAAGGCTGTTCTAATGGTCAAAATATTTTTTCAAAACAGGCTCAACTAGCAAAAACAGGGTCACAGAAAAGCTTAATCTTAAAATTCTCTACAGTTTAAAACTGCAATGTTGTACAATGTAAATTTATATTCAAATGATGAAATTTAGTTTCTAGGCCACTTAAAATAAAATGGATGCTATGTTACAGAATCTATAGGACAGAAATCCATTCAGGCAAACAAAAACCATTTGTATTAGTCTCATAAAAACTTGGTATAATGTGTCAACACCTCATAATTATTTTTTTTGCCTGTAAATCTATATTGATTGAACAGATAGTGCAGGGAAGACCATCTAAGACATGCAAGAAAAGAATTATTTTTTTCACCTGGGTTCTGGTAACTCCACAGGGTTAACTGTGGAAAGTAGAAAAAGCCTGCAGTGCTGTGAAGCTTCTCTCATGGAGGTGCTCCAGTAGTGACAGTTTTGTACCATAGACCTCTACAACTCTAAGGAGCAACAGATTTACATACAATAGCCACTTGAACTCTACACCAAGCAATCCAATAAGGCTTCAAGACCCTACAGTAACCAGGAAGTCAAAGGAGCTAGAGAATGTGGTTCAGTCCATAAGACAAAAGATAAATAGAAAAAGGTAATAGAAACCTCTACACATATACTAGTTCTGAAGTTGAAAAGGATAAAAGGCTCTTCTAATATTCCAGTTATAGAGTCAAATCACCACTTCCCAAAGTAATTATAACTGGTGGTATCCACTGTTCATTTAACAAACCCAAGGGACAAAATTATCTGAACTGTAACATCAAGGACTCTTTACTTTTTAAACTTAAAGAATCATTAGTTTCTATGTGACTCAACTAGTGTCTTAAGAAAAATCTCAATGCAGCAACATCCCCAAAAAGAGGGAAAAAAAAAAAAAAGTATCCAAGTACCTCAAGTACCCTTAAAAAAAAGCAATCCAAAAAAAAAAAAAAAAGGCCGACTTCCTTAACATCTATTTAATTCCTACATCACTCCCTATAAACTGACTAGAGTTAACTGAAAGGAAAAAAGGTTAGCCAGAGATTTAAGTACTTTAAGCCCCATGGGGAAATTTTTTTTATCCACTATCATTTACTTACTGTTTTTTAAATTGGATCCCAAACCTGGGATTCAACAATTAATTTATAAATCAATTTCCTTATCTATAAAACTGAAAGAATGCCACTTACAGGATTATTATGAATTGTAAATGAGATGATTTGTGATTCAGCGCAAAGACAAGTATTCAAGACCTCAAGAACTCTATCACTACCCTTCTCAATAAACATAATAATTCTACCATGTTAAACTATGGATCCTGATTTCAAGTTGCCTAAAATTTTTAAAGATTCCCCAACTTCTATGAGTAGTACAGCTAATGGTATTGCACTTAAAGAAACCCTAACTTAGATTTCACTCTTCTAAGAGCAACAGCTAAAAATTTATGTACTGCTCTACATCTTATTTGTAAATGCTTTTTCTAGAGGCTTCACTGGTTAACAGTCACACCTTCCAACAAAAAGAAAATGCCATCAGCCCTGGCCGTTGTGGCTCAGGGGATACAACATCAGCCCTCACACTGAAGGGTCTCAGGTTCAATTCCCACTCAAGGGCACATACCTGGGTTGCAGGTCCTATCCCTAGGCCGGATCAATCAGGGTGTGTGCAGGAGGCAACCAATCTGCAACTAATCAATGTCTCTCTCTCACATGGATGTTTCTCTGTTTCTCTCTCCCCTTCCTCCCTCCCTATCTCTCTAAAAATCAATGGAAAAAAATATCCCCAGGTGAGGATTAACGACAACAAAAGAAAGCACAGCCAAACCCTGTAAAATAAAGCTCTACTAAATTTCAATTTTGTGCCCCAAAATCATAGTGTTCTGTACTGCATACAGAAATGCTACCTTTCAAAGACAGAATGAGTAAAAAGTTAATCCAGAAGACACATAAATCTTTTTTACCTTGTTCACACAAATGTCTTTTCAAGTAAAATATAAATATAGGGTTTTCAGACTTTTTGAGAAAATTATGTGCAAAAGCATTCAAATATTTACTCTTTCCTAATGCTACTAAAGTTCAATGACATTGTAAATGGTTTCTGCCTATAAATTTAGTTTGGTCAAATTAAATATTACTTGACTGACTCATGGAGGGAGTGGTTTGACTTTTGTTATTCTGAGTCAGAATATACTGGGTTCAGCAGTTCTAAACAATTTCTCATTTGTATAGGTGTTCTAAAATGCTAGCCTTTTCCAGTTACTAAATGTAACAACTAAATTGTTGCCTTAGTAGAAAAGTATTAATGGTAATACTTTGAATCTATATTTTAATTTATAATTAACTAAATGCTTTCATATATTATTTTCTCATTTGATGTTCACAATCTCGAGGAAAATACTGCACAGCTAAAAAAAGACTTTCACAAAGAAGTGACTTCTAACTAACTCTTAACTCCAATAAATATACTCTTCCTTTTTCCTCCAAAATAAAAAAACATAAAAGTCTGTGTAGTTTCTTTAATCAGACTTTCCTCTCCCAGACATATCCCAGGTGCCTCATAAAAACTGTCTCCAAGCACACATCCTGGGGCCCCAGGAGAGTTTCAAGGCAGAATCTCCACCCACATAAAACCATTGCTTAGGTCCCAAAGAGCCTAGAGTCAGCATCTCCTAAAATGATCCCCTTGCCTCCAGCCATTTAGTCTTCTGCTTTAACGTCAACATCTCTCACCTGTACAAGTTGATGGTCACTGTGTGGTAAAATACTCCAAAGCAAGACAACCTTATGTAAAAGTATAATTATGTAGTGGAAAAAAATCAAGAAACTCTGGAGTCAGGCAGACCTGGGTTTTTAATCCAACTCCAATTCCAATTATCTTATGACCTGGGCTGGGACAAGTTACTTAAACTCTTCGAGTATCTTCATCACTTTAAGTCAATGAGGGCTCATCACTTTAACCCTAGTGCCTGGCAAATAGAAACCACTCAATATCTGCCAAATAAATACAAATGAGGACACTTACCATCTTTTAATAACTGTGAGAATTAAATGAGAGTGTATAAAAAGTTCCTGATGCATAGCAGGCACTTAATACTAATTAATCCAGTTCCCCACTGAATAGTAACAATATTATTTACTATTTTCAAAAACAGAGGACATGCCAGTGATTGAGAAAAATAATGCTCTAAGAAGAAAATAATTCTGAAACATCACTGCTTTTGCCTGATTCTACTGTGACTACTATCAAAAGGGCCACCCTACTCTTTGCTTACTATATTGAAAAACTCCCAACTTCTAAGAAAAGTCCCATCATTAAGGTGTAAAATCTGGATCAAGGTACTCGTTATCTACTTCTACAACATAAGAATCTGGGAAAAGTCCATAACAGTGCCTAGTTCATTCACAATCCAATATGAAACAACTTTTAAAATGTTAAGATCAGAATACTGCAAACAATGTCTCACCATCTTCACCAACACAACGGTATACTGGCAAGTGAATCCGAAGCCTTAATAAATAAAGTATCCTTCTATAGCCTTAATTTCCTTTTGCACATTGAACAAAGTATAACTCACTCACTTCCTGTCTGAAACTGCTCTATAATATAAAGCACAGCAGCAAATAACTACCATATTCAGTCCAGCAGTGGATGTCGTTTGGTGACTCCAGACAAGCAGCATTTGCTGAATGCCTACAGTGATGCTAGAATACTACATACTTTATGTCTCTTGACAAATTCCAGAAAATAAAAAACTAGCCTATGGTTCTTCTCCATCATCATTGCATCATATCATCATCATCATCAGTATTATTTCTTAAGAGTTTTTCTCCAGAGATTAGGAAAGAGCCACAACCTAAAAATATGACTTCAATTCACCAAAAAATAAAATACCTTTTACCTCCCCTGCAAAGCCAGCAGGACTTTACCAGAGTCTATGCTTCCTGAACACTCTAAAGGCAAGAGCCTAGGATCCTGGGCAATAGACAAGTTTTAGTTAGTTCTCACATCTCCAGACTAAAAGGGGATAACAATATCTTTAACAAATTTAGAAATCTGTGTAGATGGCATGAAAGGGAGAGGTGCGGATAAAAATTTTTTTTAAAAAGTACATTCTTTTAAAAATCCCAGAACCAGAGGATGACAGTGCCACGGGAATATACTCCTTCCTATACTCTTTCTTCATATTTGAACCCAGGAACCCAGGGACAAGACGCTCCGGGAAAGAACTCCCTAACGCAGGACACCAGGACTCACCACCACCATACACCACGGTCGAGGAGAGCCTCCAGGATGCCTGCTCACACTCTGGACAGACGCAGGCACACCCTTCCACACTCCCTCTCCCCAACCTCTCACGCCGCACTCGTGTCCTCCCCAGACTCACTCATTCCCACACGCTGCCCCCACACCACACCATCCACACAGATACCGTCCTCCCACACACTCCCACTCTCCCCCCGCACTCTCCTGTCCACTCACCCCACACTCCCTTCCATACCGCCCCCCACTACCCCCACCCACACTCTCTCTCACCCATACCCCCCTTCTCTCACCGCCGCATGCACTCAGCCCTCGCCCCAACTCACTCTTCACCCCCTTCACGCACGCACATTTCCCCCCGCCTACACTCAACATTCTTACACACACGATCCCCCGCTTCCTCACCCACCCTCCTTCTCCACGCTTCCCGGCCGCGCTCCCCCTCCCCGGGCCCCGGCCCGGCCCTCCTTCCGGGGACGTGTCTCGGGCCTGCATTAATGGCTGCGGCGCCTCCCGCCCTCCCCTTCCCCGAGGCCCCGGGGGCCGGCGCGGGGGCCGCCCGGGGGCAGCGCACTCACGCTGGCGAGCTGGGGACTGGGCATTGACGTCCGGCGGCGGAGGGAGCGAGGAGGCGCCTCTCTCCTCAGTCACCTCGGCGGCGGCGGCGGCGGCGGTAGCGGTGGCGGCGGCGGCGACGACGACTCCCCCCCAGCCTCGGCGCGCGACACCCGGCCCGGCCCGGCGACGGCGGCGCGTGTCCACGAGTCCGTCTTGCTGCTGCTGCTGCGGCCGCCGCTATGTCTCCTGCTGCCGCCGCTGCCCCCGCTGCCGCCGCTGCCTTGTGGCGTCGCCAAGCGCCGTGCCCGGCTGCCGCTGCCGCTCCAGCCGCTACCGGACGGACGACGGTTACAGCCCGACGATCGCGCCTCCGCCACCACCGCTGCGCGCGCAGCCGGAACCAGCTCCCGCCGCCGCCCCTCAGGGGGCGCTGCGGGGCGCGGCGCGCGCGCCCGTCGGCCCGCCCACCGCACCAGCTGACTGGACGGCTGGCCGGCTCGCGGGGCGGTTGGGCCCGCCCACTGCCCCGCCGGGCGCTGACCCACTGCCCTCGGCGCCTCGCCCGCTTCTCGGCCTTCGTTCCGCTCTGCACTCCTGACTGCGGAAGCGCGTCCATGTGACCTGGGAGGGGTTAGAACTAGGCCTAGCGAGTCGTTCCTCCACGCCCCGGCCCGCCCATCCGCACCTGGGCTGGGGCGAGGGCTTGAGGCCGCCTTGTGACCTGCAAGGTCGAAGAGCTTTTTCCCGCATCCCGGGCGGTGAGGCCTGAAGCCAGATCCTGTTAAGACGAGGCAGCGACCGAGCCCTTTGCTTGGGGATTTCCAGCTCAGAAGTGAGAACCAGAACAGCTCAGTTCTTGGCTGCCCTTCCTCGAGGCCCCAAATAAATGGCGTGTGCATCTGCGATCGCAGAGGATGTGTCTGCGCCTCCCCCCACATCCCTGCCGCCACACACACCCAGGCCTATGAACCCTCCCTGACCGACCAAAATTGAAACTTCCGGGTTATAGCATTTTAGGCAAGTTATTTCCTCTCTGTATTCTCAAATATTAAATGGAAATAGTCATCAGCTACCTCATGGGCTCTTTTGACATATCAAAGATATAACTATGAGAAAAATGCCTGATGAAAAGGAGACCCTGAATTTCAAGGTTTCCAACCTAATGCCCCCTTTAACGACAGGATTATCCTCGAGATTAAACCATTCTGTATTTGAAAGGCAGCCAGACATTCTTTAATTCTTTGTCAGACTATGGAAAAGGTGGTCACCGGTGAGTTGGGAGACTGGTCGGAGCTACTGCCTGGTGGCAGTCATAAAGAGGCACTGGAGGCTGGGGAGGCTTACTCATAACCTTGGGGGAAGAGGGTGCTTTGTCTTCCCTATCCATCCTGGGAAGTTTCCCCAGCCCAGAACTAGCACCTTATAGAAGGAACTACTGCCCTTGGACTGCCTCTCCCATGACCCCCCTTACCACCACACATCGATTCAGCTGGCCCTACGGGGAGAAACACGGGTCGGTAGTCATCATGACGCCTTCCACACGAGGTAGGGGCATTGCTCCTGACCAGAAGGCTTCCATTAGAGCTTAGCAGTAAAAAGAAAGGTCTTATGACTCAGCCACATCAAACCACAGCACAGAACCCAGGATGTTCACCACCAGCAGGTGGCCCAGGAGGGGGGTGTTCCAGGGCAAGGCTGGCTGGCAGGGCTGTGTGGGAGTTGAGAGGCCTTGAAGCAAGAGGGACTGATGATTAGATTCACCGCCCTTGGGTGAGGAGTACAGGCTCAGCTGCCACTTGCACTCTACCTGCCTCCAGCAGGCAGCATTTTCCACTTCCTCCAAGCACAGACTTGAAACAGACAACTATCTCCTCTACAAAACTTTTGCTGAGTATCCTGGTTATTATTCATTCTTCTGCTAAAGTCTCAAAACACCTTATGCAATCCTCTATCACAGCATTTATCACATTGTTTTATAAATGTCTATTTACATTATTCTCCCCTACTTAAACTGACCTACTTGGGGCAGTCTAGTAGACTGTTAAACAAATGACTGAATCTTCCCTCCACCTAGCTCTCAGCCTGGCCCTAAAATGTCAGTAAATAATATAATACCAACATAAGGGTAACAATAATGGCTATAATAATGGCTATCATTTATGAAGCATCTACTCTGTTCTAAACCGTGGTGTTCTAAAATATATTGTCAAGTTTATGCTTCAAAATAACACTGTGAAGAAGGTATTATCCTCGCTTTTTTTTTTTTTTTTAATCCTCAGCTGAGGATATTTTTCCATTGATTTTCAGATAGAGTGGGAGGGAGGGAGAGAGAGAGAGAAAAACATCAATGTGAGATTGTAACTGCAACCCACGTTCATGCCCTTGACCAAAATCGAACCTGCGAATCTGGTCTGCACATCTGAGGGTCGACGCGCTAACCGCTGAGCCAAACCGGCCAGGGCAATTATCCTCACTTTAAAAAAGACTGGAGCTGGCTGTTGTGGCTCAATGGTTGAGCGTCGACCCATGCACCAAGAGGGCACAGGTTCAATTCCCAGTCAGGGCACATGCCCAGATTGTGGGCTAGATCCCTGGGGAGGGGGCGTGCAGGAGGCCCCAATGTTCTCTCTCATTGATATTTCTCTCTCTCTCTCCTTCTCCTTCCCTCTCTCTCTAAAAGCAATAAAGAAAACATTTTAAAAATAAACAGCCCTGGCTGATTTGGCTCAGCGGTTGGAGCGTTGGCCTGCAGACCAGAGAGTCCTGGGTTTGGTTCCCGCTAGGGGCATGTACCAAAAACTGAATAAATACAATTTTTTAAAAATAAATCAATAAATAAACAGATAAAAGGGACTGGAGCCCTGGCCAGTTTGGCTCAGCAGTTAGAGCATCGGCCTGCAGACCAAAGAGTTTCAGGTTCAAATCCAGTCAAGGGCACATACCTCAATTGTGGTTCCATACCCAGCCCTGGTTGGGGTCATGTGGGAGGCAACCAATGGATGTGTCTCTCTCACATCAATAGTCAGTGTTTCTCTGACTCTCTTTCCTTCTCTTTCTCCCTCCCTCCCACTCTATCTGAAAATCAATGGAAAAGTGTCCTCAGGTGAGGATTTTTTAAAAAGGAGGCATTGGAGCCCCAACAGGTTTGGCTCAGCGATTAGAGCATCAGCCCACGGACCAAAGGTTGCGGGTTCAATTTCAATTCCAGTGCAGGGTACGTTCCTAGGTTGCAGGTTCGATCCCCAGCCCTGGTCGTGGTTGTGCGTGCGGGAGGCAACCAGTCGATGTGTCTTTCTCACATCTGTGTTTCTCTCTCTCTCCCTCCCACTCTCTAAAAAAAAAAGGAAAAATATCCTCAGGTGAGGATTAATAAATAAATAAATAAATAAATAAATAAATAAATAAATAAATAAATGGGATTGGAGACAGAGAAATGAAGCGACAAAAGCAGGATTCATTCAGCCCAGGTGTATGCCTCTAAAGCCCAAATAAGCATGATGTTAGTCTCTGACTCCAGTCAATAATTGGAGTCCCTCAGATCCACCTGGAATCCCTTCTGAGATGTTGAAAATACCCCCTTCTGAGGGCAAAAGGCCTAAGACCTTGGCACCACCAACTCCCCAACCCCTAAGACAGTAGGGAAATGCTCTAACCCCTGGCATGAATGACCTCATCAAATGGTTTCTAAGGAAGACTGCACACCTCAAACAGATCAGGAACCAGGCTGCAGGTGCCTAATCACAGCGTGAACCATCCTTCGTAGTGAGTTTTACACATAATAAGTGCCCTCAGTTTATCTGAAACATTCCAAGTGCCATTAGCTTATTAATCCTCCAGTGCCCATGTGAGGCAAAGCTGGCAGTATTCCTGACTAATTCTATAGAGCAGAAGCTTAGCTCCTTGAAAGCAGGAGCTGTGTGGCCTGTCACACACAGGGATTGGAGAAAGAAGTAATAGTAGTATGACAAAGAAAGCAAAATCCTGGCAGAAGTGGTTTGAGACAGAAGCGGGGTCACAACCCAGGTGCCTGGTTCATATCATGGGACTCCAGACTGTTTCATCTGGCATCCTCATCCTCGCATTGCCATTTAGTTGCTGTGTAACTTTGGGAAGTTACTTTAACAGTCTTAATTTCCCCATCTGTAAACTGGAAAAGGTAACAGTACTGAGCTCATAAGGCAGTTTTGAGCATTACAAGAATTAGTGTATATAACTCAGGTAGCACCATACTGGACACAGAGTAAGTGTTCAATAAATGTTAGCTATTAATGCAATTATTAGAATGGTACTTGGCACTGTGGAATGAATAAATGGAATGAGCTTTGTTACTACTGGCTCTGTAGAGTTTATTTCAAAATTGCAGGCTCTACTACTTACTATTAGCTTTGTGATCTTGAGCAGATAGCTTAATTTCATGAATGAACCTCTATACTCATCTGTAAAATAAGATTACTCTGAAATAAAGATATTCAAAATGTTTCATAAACTGTCAAGCACTATACAAACATACACTGTGCTTTGTACTGTGACTGTACAGGAATCCCAGGTCTGCCCCTTAAATTCTAAACTTCTAAAGTTTCCTCCTGTGTAATTTGGGCATGGTGATCACATCCATGGGGGGGGGGGGTGCAAAAATTACATTATTAAAGACAATATATTTAGCCCTGGCCGGTTTGGCTCAGCTTAGAGCGTGGGCCTGTGGACCAAAGAGTCCCGGGTTCAATTCCAACCAAGGACACATACCTCGGTTGCAGTTCATCTCTGGCCCCAGTTGGGGTTGTTCGGGTGGCAACCAACTGATGTGTCTCTCACATCAATGTTTCTCTCTCTCTCTCTCTCTCTCTCTCTGTCTTTCTCTCTCTCTCTCTCTTCCTCCCACTCTGGAAATAAATGTAAAAATATCCTCGGATGAGGATTTCAAAAAATATTAATAAAGACAATATATTTAAAGTACCTAGCATGGTGGGAAGTGGTCCACACATATTACTTCCCTACCCCTAATAAGTGTTGTTTTTTTCATCGTCCTAAAGTAAACCACAAGGTGTGGTGGGGAATTAATGGAACCAATAGCACGTGGATTAGACCTGGCTCTGCCACTGTGTGATGTTGGGCAAGTTACCTAACCTCTTTCAGCTTTCAGATGCCTTGCCTCTAACTTGAGATAAAGTATGCCTACATTGCAACGTTTTAGAAAGATAAGACGGACTAGTCCAGCACAGACCTTGCCTCACAGTAGGGGTTTGCTCAATAAGCGGGATCCACTCTCAAGAAAAGGACCCGGTTGGAAGCAACCACCAACATTCCCCAACCCAAAACCAAACGGAGTCATGAGCTGCAAAATAAGCGATCCAGGCTCTACAAAATTCAGCAGAGCTTGGGAAGGT